CATCAAACTGTGTACTCATTCAGGATCCCGAGGTTTGGGCGCGCTTTCTGCTGAAGTTGCTTAGCTACCCTCATCCACTAAAGCACATTTTGGAGAAAAATTATGTCATGTGAGTCGGATGGGCACGCCGATTTTTGTTATCACTTATACTCGATATCCGAGAGTTGGAGTAGGCGTGTTCTGGAGTTGTTCGTATAACGAAAGAACTAAGCCATTAGAAAGAAACGCGGAACCTCGGGTAAATACAAATAATCTTCCCAAATCCTTCAACTCGAAAATCGGGGTTGCCCCACAAACTCAAACAGCACTGAGAACCTATTTAAAGCAATCAAGACTTATGGGTTTAGCAGACTAGAAAGGTATAAAGCACCCAATAGTAATCAAGCAAAATGACTCACGTAAATTCCTCAAAAGCTTTTACAATACCGAGTACAGACCAGTTACATGAACAATTTAGTTGCAAAAAAAAACTATCACAGAGACCTCCACAACACTGCGTAAAATCGCTGAGCCAGAACTTTTTGCAAATTTGTTTAAATCTAAGCCGATTTTGAATTTGTGTGTAATTGCGGAAAACATCCAACGACGTCGGGCAGGTGGTCATCAACCAGCGCGTGATAATCCAGACAGAGAAATACACAGTTTCTCCTTTTCTAGGACTGATCCTTTTCAAGGAACAAAGGGTAACAGACGCTGTGATAAAGTATAGTTGTGGGCGAGGAATTCCCCCCTAGAGTATAAACTACAAAATACGCTGAAATCCCAAGGCTTTTCGTGGTACGGTTACCCTTGGACGAACGACGTCAACAATAGTTTGCGGCTCCAGGTGTACCAGGATAATCCCTTACAACAACGTACTTTACCAAGTTGATGACGTTGTTTTCTCACCCGGATTTGGGCTAGAAACCGTTGGCAAATTGAATACGGTTGCCCTGGCAGGCAGGGTCAACCCTACGTTGTTACGAGTAACAACGGGGGGGGGTCGTACTCAGTTGAGCTTGGAGGGAGGGGGGTCGTACCCTCTCGGTGGCCGACAGTGGGATTCTTGGTAATATCGGATAATAGCCAGCACGTTACGTTTTCGTAAGATGACTGATACAGCATCTATAAACCACGATTCCCTCTAAATGAGCTTTCAAATGAATCAGCGAATTAGAAGGGCGCCCGAGGCGTGGCGCGCACCAAGGCAAGGGATGTAGTGCAAGCGCATGCTCGGAGCTTTCTAGCACATCCTAATTAAACATAAAATTGGTCTTCCAAGAAGTTACGGGCAGTGAAACCTAAGAAAACTCGCGTTTTCGAGAAAATGGCTTGAAGAATACCCCTCAAAATAAAAAGTAACAACGGGCTAATTTTTGAACTGCTGATCTTTCAGAAACGCTTGGGTGCTCGTTAGAAAGCTTGAAACCTGTGGTTTATTACACCGTGTTCAGCTTCCCAAATGAATGACTTGAAGGAAGTTATGATCGTTTGAAGGTCAAAAAGTCGCGGTTCCAAAAAAATAGTAACGCAAACCCCCAAAAAAGTAACAACGGGACTAATTTTTGAACTACTGATCTTTCAGGAACGCTTGGGTGCTCGTTAGAAAGCTTGAATCCTGTAGTTTATTATACGTGTTCAGCTTCCCAAATGAATGACTTTGAAGGAAGTTATGATCATTTGAAGGTCAAAAAGTCGCTTTTGCACAGAAAAAAGTAACAACGTACTAAATTTTTATTAAATTAACTTTCGAAGAATTTTTACCCATGGTTGGAGAGAGAATAATTTGAATTTTCCAAATCAAATCACTTCGGCGCAGAAGCTCGAATATGAAGGAAGTTATAGCCTTAGAAAGAGGGGTGTAAAAATTGTGTTGCAATTGAAGAACGTGAAGGATTTCAGTATTTCAATTGGAGCGATAATTTTTTCTGACTTCTCATAAGTTTTTATCAGGTAATGTTGTCAATATTCCGGTCACTGGTTCAGTTTATTTCATCTCCTAGTTTGGTAACCCTTTGGAGTACACGGATATCTTTGAATGCATCTCATTTTTTCGTGTTTGCAAGCAGCGATGAATATCTGTCGTGGATTTTGCTAAAGTTTCATCTTTGATGACTTACGTAGAAATAAATATTGATGGTAAACACTGTCTCTACACAAGTGTTACATACAAAGGGGGGGGTCGTATCAAATCACCCCTGAAGGGGGGGGGTCGTAAAAAATTTCCGAAGAGTAACAACGATAGGGTTGACGCCTGCGTTGGATGTAATTTGCATAGAAGACATCTGGAACGGTGACTACAGTTACATCCGGGCTGTAAAGAGAAGTTCACTTTGTACTTATATGTATAAGTTACGGTGATTTTGGGCGCACCAGCGGTGCAGTTTAGTGAAGAGGTGTAAGCCATTGAAATTCTAATTTCATTTGTCTCTGCGTTTAAATTAGGTAAATGCATTATGCTATCATCAAAAAGAATCGTTCTTAATTGCATAATTTCACCGTTCTATACCGTGAGACAAATGGCTGCAGCGTCTGCCAACACGATCGCTAAACCCCAAAGATGGTCGCAACTTTAGAACGAAGTATGGAAAATTGTGAACGTTGCATTTATTATGTTATGTTTCTGATCCTGTAAACATTTTAGTGCTTTCAATCTTGTTGAGATGCTTGCTGCTATTAGGCCGATGTCAAACTTTGCGAATCGAGCGATTCGCTAGTGTCCGCGGCTGCGTTGCGGTACCAGCCAATCGAGCGGTTCACTGGCCGCGACGCGACCGCAGACGCTGGGAATCGCTCGATTCGCAAAGTCTGACATCGGCTTTACAGCCGATTTGTGTTGTCTGAGCGCTCGTGCTGTCCGAATCGCCGCCAACTAGAAAAAAAAATCATAATACGTGTAAGTACTAAACAACTTCTCTTCATGACCCAATTCTTGATTAACTACCTTTACCTCATCCGTCTACTATGGGAAATATCCTCGACGTGCGACTGCGTGGGCAGCTGTTTCATTAACCGATTCGGTTTCTGGCCGGTTGAGGAAACAACGTCATCAACTTGCTGTTGTTAGGAATCCCCCTGGTACACTTCTCCAAGCGTACCCTTTGTTGCTGGCTTTTGTATGCACTCCCGAGCAACGTGTTCCATTTAAAGCCACGAGTCAGGATTAGGGAACATTAGGAAGTCCTTTATAGGGTGCAAAAGTGGGGTCTCCAAGCAGAGGGGGTGTGAGGCTGTCGCGACAAAGAAGTGCGCGGCAAAGGCGCTAGGGCCTTGCATTGTGTGCTGCCGTGCTGCGAGAATTTCCCGGCAGCACGGATCGCCCACCGCGGGATGTGGTGCGTGGCTGGCCTAACGTGTGAGATCAGCTAGGTTGATTGCCGTATCAACCGATGGAACGGCTGGCATATCCGGAAAACTCGTTTGGACGTGGCTCTCCCCCGAGCAAGCCTCCTTCACTGCTAGAAGGGAAGGGGTTTCGATTTCGGTCTTGTCGACAGTTTTTTTTTGTTTTTTCTTCACTGTCGTTCCACCTCCCATCTCTAAACTCAATATCAGGCGCCATAATGCCGAAACACGAGCCTGACTTTTGCCTTTAAGTGAAGTGTTGCTTTTCACAAAACTTGTCGTTAAATTCCCATTTCTTCAAAAAACTGAAGAGGGCTTGAAGTTCCTGCACGCAGGAGGATTCTGCTGGGCGTTCTCTTCCCACGTTGCTCACATTTTTTGAGGGGAGCCGGCAAGACTCAGAAAACGGTAACTTCGTATAGCTCGCTTTATTCTAAGCAAGAGGAGATTCTTAAAGCAACAGTTCAGGAACGGTTTCGCGGGAAAAAACCACCAATAATGAAGTTGTAGATGAAAACCAGACGATTAATGTATGAAAAACTGGAAAAAAACGTCGGGGAGGGTCTTAGACAGGTACTCTCCCTCTGCCGCTCAGCAATGGATAAAGACGCACGTTGGACGAGTTGTCTGAACGTGCCCGCTGTAAACGCGCTCCATTTTTCAATCAATTTTCCCTGTGGTCCCAAAACGAGCACGATTGCCGACGCGTCCAATGACGGCCGGCAAGGGGGCGGGATTGGGGAAATCCCCAAGAACACCCATGTTTGAGGGACTTTCCACCCTGTTTTTGAGTTTCTGAGGTAAGTTCGTTTATTATTTCCACTGCATATGTTCTTCACTAGGGCTCGTGTATCCCTCAGTAGTAGTGGCATTGAAATTTTCGGACCCTCCCTGAACTGTTGCTTTAAGCAACAGTCCAGGAACGAATTTGCGGGCCAAAAGCACCTATATGGAAGTTGTAGGTGAAAAGTGGTCGAACGTAAAGAGAAAAAGTGAAGAAAACGCCCAACTGGGGCTTAGACAGGGACATGCCCTGCCGTTTAGGGAGACGTGTGTTGGACGAGTTGTCCGAACCTGCCCGTAGTACATGCGCTTTAATTGCAACTGCTGGCAAATAGCTGCATGCTTGCAAATACATAACTATTTGCCAGCAATCGAAATTGAAGCGCTTCAATTGCGTTCTTATGGAATCGACCTCATACAGCGCGGCGGTCCCGCAACGACCGCTAGTCAAGCGCGGACTCTGCACAGCGTATGTTGGGCGATCCGCCTCTTTATGGGTGATCCGCCCCCTCCAAGAGGACTTCGACCCAGG